TCTTTGAACTCCTGAGCTATAATTTCATATGAAATTCTTGAGTTTTCTTAGGCAATATTCTGAAAAACCTATGAGACGAAGTCTGAAATGCATTTGTATTTTAAACATATGGGGATTGTATGAAAATAAGTATAATCATAACATTTATACACCAACAAAAATATGGTTGAATACTGAAATTGGACTACAGAGATCCCACTTCGTCGTAATTCTAGTGGAAAGTTTTTCTACTAAGCGTGTTTTAAAGAAACCTATACTGACATAGCATCTGTGTTTTCCTGACAAAAAAAAAAAATCTTTAAAAGGTGTGTAAATGAAGTTAAAGGCAAAAAGAGTACAATCATTCAGTTATGAATTCTTGTTCTGTATCCTTATGATTTACTGCTAGTTTCCCATCTGTTGGAAAATGAAAACAGAATTATCTATCTCAGGTGAGCTCAGTGGCTCTATTTGTGTCAATACACTTCTTTCACTGGAAGTGTTATTACAACAGAAAACAGCTGTGCAATGTCCATGCTGTTCCATGCAGCAGCAGGTTTTATTTTGCCCTTCATTTATATCTGTTTTCCAGTTTTAGGTATTTTCCCACAAAAGTAGCTTAGTGGTCTAATTAAATAAGATCAAAGGCTTTGCTTTGGGTAATCGAGGCCTGTAAGAATCTGCTCAACCAAAGTAAATGTGGATTGACTCCCATCCATCAAAAACCCTCTTAAAATACAATACATTCCTTGAAATCTTCAAGGAGATTGTTCAGTAAAAGGAAAAAAAAAACCAAACCATGTGCTTAGTCTATGCAGAACTCAATGCTCATTAAGTTCACATGCTTCAGTTGTTTCAGAGAAGATCTACATGCACTGCATATTTATCATCTCTTAATCTTTTGCAGTATATCTTAAACATAAGTATAGGATAATATCAACCTGTGCTTCTAGATTTATTACGTTATTGTATGCACTGCTACTTCAGGAAAGAAGGAGGAAGTTATATATCTAGGGAGGTACATTTATGATAAGTGCATCTGCAGCCTTGATTTGCACAAGGAGGCTGCAAGGTTGTGTTGTGAAAGACACAAATCCCATGTGGTATTGTGGTACAGAGTGATGCAGATCTCTTCATTGTTTTCTAAGGCAATCTGTTTATCTTCCAAGTTTAAAGAAATGATGGAAAAATGAAATGTAAATCCTGGCTGAATGTATATATTAGACATTTTCCTTTTCAGACTGCATCTCCATCTTCCTTTCTGTTTTGATACCTGCTCTTGTCAATGCCAAATTCTGTATTTTTTCTATTACATTGTTACCATACAGGAATTTGACTGGGAAATAATTCACATATACTGATGCAAGGCAAATTTACCCTGCACTGTCTCCGTTACATAGATAACCTTTTAGTTATCTTTTCAGCAATATCTTCTGGAGTCCTAAGAAGAGGAACACAGGAGGGACATATGTTCTTAATCTGAAAGTGTGGCACCTATAGAGTCACAGGGCTATTACATCCATAGTTCCATTGAACTTACAAATAGATAGGTCTAATATGCTCCTGCAAGCACATGCCTTTGCTTGGTATATAACCTGCATCTGAAACAGAATAAGTCTGAAGTTAGCAGCTGAGAGGTTAATCTAGAACCATATAGCATACATTCATGTAAATGGTACTTAATCTTGCTTTTTAACAATCTGGTTTATGTCTTAAAAATCTTAACTTTATTTTTCATTTTTAAGATTTGTTTTAAGCTCACCTTCCACTTTATTATCAAGTATAAAATTAGCCCTTCAGGGGAAATAGCTGATGGCAAGCTGACCCTCTGTTAGTGTTACTATTTAGTATAAATATTTAATGTTTAATATGATTGTTATTGTTCTTTAATTATATTCAATTAATTTTTCCTGGGATCATTTTAGTAGGTGTGGTTTTGTTGTCATTTTAGTTTGTTGGGATTTTTTTTTTTTCCCATTATCTTGAAAGATTATTTGTCAAGACCAAGGGTTCTGGGAAAATATGAGGAAATACTGCTTTGGAGAATGGTAGTCTTGCAACTGATCTATCTCTATGGCAGAGAAAATCCACTTGAGTACCAGGATTTCAGAGTGGTGTAAGTCTAGTTAAAAGGTAGCCCATTTCTCATTCCTTTGTCATAAAATATTAATAGGGATTTTAATGAACTATGTATACACTCCTTTAAATAGTTTCTGTTGCATATTAATGTATTCTTTTATACTACATTAGTAAACGAGAGTTAAAGTAAATAATCTAACTCCTTTTGCAGTAGGCTAAGAAATGGTTGCATAAATAACAGAAAATATTAGCTGACTCAAAATTTTTTTGAATGACTGATTTGTCATCTTTTACTCTGGTTAGCTATTGAATTTCTTGCCACCACTCATTGTACAGGCAGTGCTGCACATGGCTGCCTATTGATACAGTTTAGGGAACTGAAATAACTGTCAATTTATGTCTTGAGGTTTCCACTGCCATTAATTCCTTTCTCAGATGTTGCTATCTTTAATAGAAAAGTAGAATGCAACTCTTGAACTTAATACTTCGGAAGAGTTTGATTAATAAATTGTCTGTGTGACCTTTTAGATTTTTAACATGAGTTTTGAAAGATTTTACAAATTAAGTAGTTAAAGAAAATACAGAAACCTGCTCACACATACCATTGGTTTGCATATTTTCTGCCAATGGACAGTTATTTTTCTAAATCATTCATGTCACAAGTTTATAAAATTACATGATTGTAAGTGACAAATACTTTCTTTCATGTTTTAATCTCAGACACACAAATGCACTCTCAGTGGCAAAGGTCAATCCTTACATGCTTTCTCTGTCATTTTGTTGAAAAACTGTCACAAGCTGAAATAGCTTTTATTAAAATTGCATCAGTCTTACAGATAAAATCACTTGATTGAATTAACACTTCAGTTAACTTTTGCTTGATTTTATTCTGGTCTTTGAGTATGGCAGTGCAGAGGCTTTGTCAGTTTTCAACTTACTTTGACTCCTTTTTAGATAGCAGCATTGTGTAAATAATTTAGAAGTTGAATTTAATAACAGGCACCATAATAGTACATCCTTCTGTAGTAATGACCTGTTCTAATTGTTTGTAATATAGCCGTTTTTGGTGACATAGGGCTTATGGGCACAAAACAGACTCTTCAGGAAAAAGAAATGTTCAGTTATAGAGAATTCCCTGGAAAGTCTTTAGGGGAATAAAGTTCCTTTCTCTACAGTTTGACATTTAGATTGACATATTGTAGCTTCATTTCTAGATGCACCACTCAAAAATACCCTCAAGTTTTAGGAAGTTAGTTTGTAAAGTAGTTGAGCTCTTAAAACCTATTAAAACTGAATTTGTCAGTACTCTGAAGATGTTAATCTCTTCTTAGAGTAGAATCCATCCTGGAAAACAGATGAGAACATTGAATCTTTTTGAAATTTGGCATATACTGCCAGCAGATAATAACTCCATCTCATATGGCTGCTTACATTACTTTTTAAAGGATCTTGTTGTTAATTGCTTGAAACTTTGCCAAGCTGCAACAGGTTGGGCTGGAATTTTCCACTTAAAGAAAAGAGCAGTATGGATTCCTCATTTCCTGTATGCTAAATGAAGCAGGGGCCTGTGGGAAAAGTAGTATGCAATCAAATAATTAAATATTCTGCCATAAAGTGTACAGCTAGGGAGAGAAGTTGAGGGGAGTATATAGCTTGACTTCTGACTTCTTCCATCTTTTCAACACTTGACTTCATGACTTTATTTTTGTGAATAAAAATAAATAAAATATTTTGAGCTTGAATAAAAAAGAGTGGTCTTTTCTCCCTAATGCCTTCACAGCTATTAATTTCCATGTAATCCAGAACTGGGGACATTGACTCACCTGGAGACAGCCTTAGCAGACCTCTGCTTGGGTCAGCTGTAGTCCTCTCTTGATCCTCCAGTGGTAGAACTGGATAAACTCTGACTTCCTAATTTTGGGAAGATACTTAGCCATTTATTTGGAGTGAATCAGCTGGTGAGATGATGAAATCCTGACTCTCGTGTAGGCATTTTCAGTCTGTCATTGCCTTGGGCAAGAGGACATTTATATCTAGAGCCCTTGTGAAAGAGCTGTCTAAATTCAGGGTATTAATCTGAAAGCTGCTGTTCTTCACCATGACATACTTGTTTGTTATTGCTTATTTCCAACCTCTGAGAAATTTGGTACTTTTCTTCTTGGATAAAGAGCCTGTCTTCATATTTTAAATTCATTCTCAGAAACTTCAAGACTACAATTATCTGTACCACAGTGTATGGCTTTCTGACATCCCATTCATCTGTTGTTCTTCAACGTTGCCTGGCTTAGCCTCTCCAGTAAAGGATTTTGCTTTGAAAAATGCCCAATTGTGATTATTTCTTACGTGATGACTTCAGACTAGCAATTTTAAAACTATTGATGCTATATTCCACTTTAAACTAATTGTAGCAAATCACCTAACTTAATTACCTTCAGGGACTAGGTATTTTAATGCCTTATCCTTCCCTCTGAGATAGTTTGAAGAATGTTTTCTTAACCTTTCCTAGTTTTCAAAAGAAATCTAGGTTCTTCATATATTAAAGTTAAATGCAAACACTTCCCATAGTCTCCCTACCATTCCATTCTGTGCAATGTAGGCTGGTGGAAAAGAAGTAACTTATCTACAGTAGCTGTGATAAAATTTCTTTTACTTTGGGATTTTTGATTGAAACCTAGCGGATGGAGCTCTCTTGCAATTCTGTTCCAACAAGACTTTCATCTCAGCCATGCTCTTTCAGCCCTAATAAGGCCATAACTCAGTCTCCTCATTCAAGTGTCTGTAAGGCTTCTGTGTGTGTGTGTGTCATTTCAGGTGTTCAAAGCACTTCACCCTTTTCAAGATCTCTGGCCATTTAATACATAGAAAATTATAAATGAGATAATAAATTATGAAAGCCTTGGGAAATTTTGGGTATTCTCACTTGCATATGTTTCAACCTGTAGGAGAAGCCTATATGAGAATGAGCAGGCTGCCAGAAGCAGAGCGCTGGTACGTGGAATCACTGCGATCCAAGAGCGACCACATCCCAGCCCATCTCACCTATGGAAAACTGCTGGCTCTGACGGTGAGTGAATCAGCAGCTCCTCGGAGCTGGTTGCAGGCCCTTGGAGTAGGTGAGGTAAGGGGAGGGAAAGACTTAGGTCTGAAAATTGCTTATTGCCCTATTTGTCACACTATTTCTGTCATGCCTTTTAATTAAGGATTTTGACAGCATCATTTTTTGTGAAACATTGTATCTATTCCTGAAAAGGCCACCACCTTTTCACCTAGCTGTAAGTTTTTCTCTGACCTTGCTTATGCCCTCTCCAGTCTTCAAGCAAAGAATGTCCTTGGACACAGGGTAGAGATCTAATGAAGAAAAATAACTCATAATTAGTTTCAGCAGGTCCATTGCTGCTAAAATTATCTGAATTTGGAAAAGGGGGAGCAATTAGAACACAAGTTTTCTATATGAATAACAAGTGACAACTTAATTAGAATTAAAAATTGTTCAGTGTTATCATGTAATGTCAAATACATAGTCAAGGTACTAGTGTTATATCCCCACTGCCTGTCAGTTCCAGACCCTGGAAAGACTTTTTTTGCTAAAATTTCCAGTTACAGTTAAGAATTCTTGGATATCGACACATGTACTCACTGATTACCTTGCTTTGGGACAGAACTGTAAGTAGGTTGTACAGCACAATTTCCTAATTCACCTTGGTTTTCTGGCATTTATCTTCATATCTTGCACCTAAGAATAATAGCAGAAAGTCAGTGTTACTTGTTTCTTCCTAGCAGAACTTTGACACAAAAGTTCTAATTTATTAGAATTGCTGTGGGCAAAGAAGGAGTTTTCTCAATTAAAATATAATTTTTTTTTCCCCCCCCTTCTCAGACATCCCTACCCCAGTACTCATCTGGTTAATGTTGTGCATGTTCTGAACTGAAGGGTAGGTGAAATATGACATCCGCTAGGGAGAGTCTTGAAGTTCTGGGAAACAGTTTCTTCAAAGTAACAAAATCCCCAAATCCTTTAACTCTGTACAAACATGGTGAGCCATGAAAAAGAAATTTTTCCTTTTGTTCTCTTATTGTGAAAGTTCAGGTATAGGATTAGACATTAGTGGCATACCTGAATTTTGGAAAGGAAGTGATCAAAAATGTATGCAAATCCTTATAGTAGAACTGAACAATTTACTGTTCTTCAGGGATATGAATGCAAAATAACTGAGGTGGATTGTGCCTTGAGGAATTGAACTATGTTTGTGGAAGAATGTGTCTCATTAGCAAAAAGGACAGGAGCTGTATACAACTTTAAACACTGAACACAGCACTGTGATAGGCAATAAAATACTCTGACTATCCTCTCTCAACATACACTTGCTGCCCAATACTTGCTCTGTGCCATAATTGTAGTCTCTTCTCATCAGGTTTGTTTGTTATCACTTGGCACGTTTATGATTGTTGCTTCTTCTCATGTTTATGGCAATATGTACAGGTAAGGTTCATGTCTGTTCTGTTACCATCAGCATAAGCTGAAAAGAATGGTGCTGATGTCCTGTTGGCTTGTAGTGACATAGGACTTCATAAGCACATAATGAGGTAACATGTTGATGACAACGTAAACACAGATGGGAGAAAACTTTTCACGTGGTTTTGTCATTCATGAAAAAAGAAAGTTTATTTATCTTTGATCTGTTACAATTTGGTATTTATTTCATTTAATTCTTTCAGCTACAAAGTCTGAAAAGACATTCAACAGGAAAATGGATGATGAAGAAATTTGGCAATAGAATACGGATTCCTGTCTCCATGTTGGTCACTTGTCCTGAATCAGTTTTGCAGCCTGCTATCTGCTCAGTGATTCTCATTACATGAATTTTGTCTAGTTTCTAGTACACTGAACTCTACTATTATTAGTTCCTATAGCAAATATGATTGCTGTAACTGATATTCTTCCTGCAAGTCTGCATAGACTTCGTTGGGATTCAGTAGCATTAGAGCCATTCACTTTGGCATGGTTGTTTCAGCCCTTACCTAACTTGAGGGACCACTGTAATTTCTTCTTGTGATAAACTTTGCTACCTAGGATCATGATCATTTTCTCACAGCCTGTATCTTTAGGAGAGAGAAAAGCCTACTTCAGTTAGTTTTCAGGTGTTAGAGGAGAGATGTGTTAGAGGCTTCTTCCTCTCATCTGTTGGAACCAAACCTTCAGATTTTTTGCAATCCTGTTTCTGAAAAGAAGTGCTGAAACAAAACTATTGGTAACACCAGGGGAGAAATGTGGGATCGTTGATGAAGTGAAGAGTGGAAGTGGGTGCTAATATAGATAGAAAATTTGTCTCTGTCAGTGAAATTGGGAGTGAGAGAGGAGAGGAGGAATGTTTCAGACAAGTTCCTAAGTTCCAGCCAAAGGCAATTCTGGTATAAAAACCAATAGCAGTAAAGTCAAACCTGTAAAGTTCACAAATTTGGCTATGTTTTATTTCCTGACTTGAATTCCAATGAAGTGGCTTAATTTTAACCCCAGCTTTTCTACCTCCTCAAGTCTGTTGCCAATATTAATGCTTACTAAAAGCAGCATGACATGATTCATTTAATCCCTGAGTGCCAGTCTGGATACCTGGACAGCCTTCTTGTAGCTTCTGTTTTCTTTGCCTTTACATAAGGGACTATGAGGGCAAGCTGCACCCAGCGTGCAGACTAGAGATTTCTGAAATTTCTTGCTCATTATTGCAGTCTATCCTTTCCCAGCTTTCACTGAAAGCTTTTTGAAATGTCACAAAGAGGGACATAGAAACAAAAGAGTATCCTAGAGTGTAAGCAGTTTGTTTTATTCCTATTGTCTGGCTTGGTTCTGCCAAACACAAACTAGAAACTGCACATTTTCTAAATCCACAATGACCTGTGCCTGTCTTTCCTTTTTCTTTTGTGGGTGTGTTTTTTTTTTTTTTTTCCTGAGTTGCAAAGCACATCTAAAATAAAGGCACCATATACTAGATGAGGTTATTAGATGAAAAATACCAATGAAAAATAGGTTTGTTTTGTTTTGTTTTGTTTTTTTTTAATTATTATTTCCAACTGAAATAACCTGAACAAGCAACCTGGTCTAAGTAAAATGTTAACTCTTCTTTGAGCAGGGAATTGGACAGGATGATATATCAAGGTCTCTTCCAGCATGAAGTGTTCTACACTTCTATGTACCTTTCTTTGTTGAAGTTAATTTCAGTTTATTAAAATCAATATTTCTGAATCAAAGTTGAGGTACAGACTTGTATTTAATATTAACACCTATTATCCTCTCTTACTGAAAAGAGAATTTAGATGAGGATTAGCTTCTAACAGAATGGGTTATCTTTTGCAAGGTCACGAGTGGCATGTAGAACTGTAGAGAAGGTAAATCATAATTCGTCTACTGTGATAAACTTAAAATTATTATAATCATGCTGTGACAGATGCTAATTCATGTCATCATCTCTGGTTGATTTTAACAGTTTCTCATGTATACGTAGCTAATATCACTACTGTTCCAAAAGGCAATTTAAATTTTGTTTGCATTTTGTAAGAGTTTAAATGAAAAATTGTAAGGAAAAGCATAAGCTATCCTATTTGATTTTACTTGTGCTAATTCTTTTCAGTTTGTACATGCTCAATAAATATATAAGCATGTACAATTTGTAAATTTCATTCGTAAGTTTCCATATATTTCAGAAAAGGTCCTCAAAGACACCACAATGTTTTGTTATTTCTGTGCAACATTATCGTCTAAGATGAAAATCGCTAACCACCTTTGAGGTTGATAATAAGTAGTATTTTTATTTCTATAAATGTTTTAATGAAGAGTTAAAAATGTATTTATTCAAGAACAGCAGAATTGCTGAGAAAGGGTTTATTTTTTTCTGAGTTCTCAGTGTATGAAAAAACACTAGACCAGGTTGCTCAAAGCCCCATCCAGCCTGGCCTTGAACACTCCCAGGGATGGGACATCCACAGCTTCTCTGGGCAACCTGTTCCAGTGCCTCACCACGCTCTCCATGAAGAACTTCTTCCTGATATCCAAACTAAACCTCCCCACTTTCAATTTAAACCCGTTACCCCTCGTCCTGTCACTACAGGCCCTTGTAAAAAGTTCCCCCCCCCAGCTTCCTTGTAGGCCCCTTCAGGTACTGGAAGGTGCTATAAGGTCTCCCCAAAGCCTTTTCTTCTTCAGGCTGAACAAGCCCAACTCTCACAGCCTGTCCCCATAGCAGAGGTGCTCCAGCCCTCTGAGCATCTTTGAGTCTGTCCTTCCTGAATAACTTCAAAGATACATTTGTAAAACCTAGAATATGCTGTTCAGCTTCTAATAACTGTAATTCATATTGACACAAAACCATCCAACCAAACAAAAACCAAACCAAAAATAGTTGTTAATTTGTCTTTGATTCTTGAAATACATAAAGTCATATAGTTCTATTTTGCATGTAATAAAACCGTTGAAGTAAAAAAATTACTTATTAGTACTAAAAAAATTCTGGTTTTATTTTAAAGCAAATATTTGTCTCAAGGCTTGTTAGCTCTTTTGGGATACAAGAAAGACCACATGGACTTGGGCATGCTGCTATATATGCAGAAAAAACCCAAACCAACTTAAGAGCTCAAAAGGAATAGCTAATGAATTTGCAGTCATCTTACCTAATATCATAAGTATTTCATAACCCCTATATTGGATAATGTTATATGTTCATTTTTAAAAATTACAGCTCACTAGGCTACAATTGTCCAAAAAATTTATTAGAACAGCATAATTTAGTGGTTGAAAAGCATGATTAGTAGCTCAGCTAGTAGAATAATTAGAAAATAGCCAGTTGTCTGATGATTAAGTTTGTGCTTTTCTTTTTTATTGTTATTTATTTTTCAGAAACAACATGTAGCTGTTTAGAAATCCAGTGCTTCAGCATTATGCATTTCCAAGTGCTTGTAATATTTTTAAATTGTTAAGCTGCATAAATTACTTGAGAAATTTATTTGTCAGTGTGACATGTTAGTTAACCTAGCCAATCTCCTGATAGCACAGGAGTTTTGAATCTGAGCCTCATC